CTCTATTATATTTTTCCATAGTAAAAAATGAGTGAAAACTAAGAGCTAGCATTTCCTGAAGGGTGCCTCACATGTAATGAGAGGTGCCTCCAATCTAGTGAGGGGTTTCTTGAATCTAAAAAGGATGAGAACTGCTGTATTAGATAGCACATGAGAAAAGGGAGAGCTGAGAAGGTGAGGAAGGGTTTTGTTGCATGGTTCCTTCATCCCATATAGAAGAGTTAAGAGTGCAGTGTTGCCAACCACAAAAATTCAAAAATCCTGAATTGGATCCTATAAAATCAGTAAATTGCTCCCAAAATCATGGAGGAGGGATTTCTTCTTAGGAAAAAAGGATTACAAATGGCTTGTTTAGGTTTTTTGGCTTGTCTTTTTATTTATGATTTTTTTCTTCCCCTTCTACTGTGCACATAGGACAATAGCATTGCTGATTCTCCTAAGCTGACACGCTCTTGGAGACTGCTATGCTTTCACTGGCTGCCCAATGGTGCAAAACCTTCTCTTCAAATGCTAATCTAGCCTGACATCTGCCATGTCTCACCCCAGCTATTAATTGTGCATCCCCAGCCCACAATTAGTTCAGCTTGTCAGCACCTCTACCAATGATTTACCCCCACATCAATTAACTATGACCCCAGCTCTGGCTCTTTTCCCAACTCTGACCTCGTCAGCCCCTTCCAACTCCACCTCCGCAGCTCCTGAGGTTCAGCACTCCCTCACTGAAGCCTGGAGGGAGGATGCAGAGTTTCCCCTTCTGTCCCTACCCAAACCAGTACTGTAGAGCAGAAGAATGTGGGGGAATGGCAGTGAGTAAACAGAAAGGGAGGAAGCAGATTTAGCAGAGCTGTCCTGTGGAGCTCTTTCTGCTCCCCCTTGAACAGTATCAGCTGTTTCTTCTCCCATCCTACCCCATCTCAAACTCTTTTCAGCTTCTGAATGGATTTCAGCTTGCCTCCTAGAGCTGTCCTGATCAGCTTGTCCCAGCAGAAAATGGGAAGAGGGACAGGCAGCCAATGAGAGAAGATTTTTTTCAATCTCACACGGCTGAAATTCAAGTGAGGAAGCAAGAGGAAGTGTCATCCAAAGTGTTTTCAACTCCGGCTTCATTAGCAACATTGAGGGAGATAGGTTGATGAAAAAGGGAAATTCCAAGTTTGTGGGGGAAACTGGCAAGTGTGGAATAAAAGACTGTCAGATTCTGAAAATATGGGATGGGATGGGATGGGATGGGTTGGGTTTTTAAGGGGGGGGGGAGAGAGAGAGAAATAATTTTCCTCTTCTCTTACAGACCAGTCTTCAAAGCTGGGAACATTTAATGAAGTATCAAGGAAATATTACCAGAAGTAAAAGCATCTGTTATAGAAACATATAGCAACAGAACAATGTAAAACAATATAATAGTAAAAATTGTCCTGTCATTGAAACGTTTCACACCTACCTGCACTTATTGTGAATCTCAGGCTCCCAGTGAATAAAGTAGGACATTTTGTCAGTTTTCATATTTTATCGTGAGTCTCTTGCTATTCAATTTTCCTCTTACACCTCAGCCTCCTGGAGTTCTCAATCTCAGCTTTTGGATTTTTTGAACTAACATCTTGTTATGTATATAGGAGAAAAACCATGAACCATAAAGCCTCAAAAAAAAACAAGGGAAATGAAAAGGAGCCAACATTTAATATTTTCCTATTACCTTATGCTTTGGGGTAGTGTGACTTGATTTTGAATGTTGTGGCTTAAGAAACTCAAAGCAGGAGGTATACAAGGAATGGCAGTTTAGTTCCATAGATACAAATTGTTCAATACTGTGTTTGCTCTGGACAAAACACAAGATTTAGAAAGAAAATTCCAGACCTGTATTGGTGTGTGTTTGGGTATACGTATGCACAGACACACTTTTTGTATATATTCTATACCAGGTTGATTGCTTTGCTGCTACCAACCACTTCTCGTTTAAACAATTAGGTAAATAAATGCAACCACTTAGAAATTTTTCCAGCTTTTCTACACAGGTGTCTGTTCCCTAAGATGAAGAAAATTCACATAATTGAGAGGAACTGCACAGAGTATGCAATTTGTGCATATTCTTCTTCTGTAACCTTTCTTTTCTCCACTAAGACATATGTATGAAAGATAATGGGAGACAGCTTTAGTTTGACAAATAGAAAAGTGGTTTGACTCAGGCCAATCTCATCTAATTATGGTCCCACAATCAGTAATGTAGATAGCATACATAATGCATATACAAAATGCTAACACAATATGTCTTCTTAAATTCAGTTTTTGTAAGGAATGCATTATAGCAAAGTCTAGAGTCTAAACTAATGAAGTGAAGGTATAGCTGTTGAAAACATAATTTGCTGATTAAAATGAAATTCAGGTGTTTTCTTTCAATGAAAACTATTTTCATTCTATTAAAGTAAACATGACATATAACAGCTGGCAAATATTGAGAAGCAGCAGAATGTTAATACTTCTCAAACACTTCCAGAGTGTACTTTGAAAGATAACCCACTTAAATGTATTTGTGCTTTCCTAGTATTACAACATTTGGGAAACAGGTGTGAAGTATATAGTAAATCCAACTTTCAAACATGTTCATTCACACAGTACATATGCAATCATTGGTAATGTTCAAATACTAAAGAACATGGAATCTGTGTTACCTTCTATGAAGTGCCTAAAATTACTCAAGTGACTACTGACAATTTTGAATACTTAGGGCTAGATATAATGAAAGATTTATATACCTAGAATCATAAAAAATTAGGGTTGGAAGGGACCTCAGGAGACCGTCTAGTCCAACCGCCTGCTCAAAGCAGGATCATCCCCAACTAGATCATCCCAGCCAAGGCTTTGTCTAGCTGGGTCTTAAAAACCTCCAAGGATGGAGATTCCACCACCTCTCTGGGTAACCTGTTCCAGTGCTTTACTACCCTCCTAGTAAGAACGTTTTTCCTAATATCTAACCTAAATTTCCCCTGCTATGACTTGAGACCATTGCTCCTTGTTTTGTTCTCTGCCACTGCTGAGAACAGTCTACTAGCTCCAGTTGTAGGTGCTGCATTACCCTTGGCCCCTGGCATGGAGTCCTAAATTCAGAGCTGGGCACCTCACAACCCTCTGCAGCATGTGAAGAGAATTAAGCACCTCAAAATGGGATTTAAAAAAAAAGTGTGCTGGGTGAGAAGCCACTTGGAGATGATCAATAGAGAACCTCAAGGACAGGGCTGTGTTTGAACTCCTACCCCTCTTTTGACCTTTGGCTTGTGACTCGGGGCTGCAAAGGAGGCATCTTCATTCACTCAAGAACTAGAACCTGAAGTCCTCCACCAAAGGAAAACACCTAGAAGTATTTTTTGAAAGAACAGAGCAGGGGTCACTCTTAAAAATTCAGCTGCAAGGAGGACCTGCCTGCCTTTTACGTACTGGCACAATGGTGACAGCACTCTCACAGGAAATGGGACACAGGTTCTATTACCTCCTTGAGTTTCTCTGGATTGGAACCCACATATCCCATGAGACTGCCCAAACCTCCAGGAACCTCTGCCCCTCCTGCTGAAGCTAGACCACTGTTAAGAAAGGAACGCATGAGTCAAAAGGCCAGGAAGAGCAAGCTCAAGCAGGCATCTCACCCTAACTCAGTGGTCAGACTGCCAGCTGAATGGAGTTACAAGTTCTGGCCCCCAGCCTTAGGTTTATTTCTAGTTTTTTATCCAGTTACTCTTTAACCTAGGGGGTACATACTATAATCCCTGACTTCCTGCTTCCATGCTGAGTGTCCCAGCCACTAGCCTACAGAGTCAAGTTCCCACTTGCTTATTTCCCTTCTGGCCTAACACACCTTACATTCTTGCTGTACAATGGCATAACTTCAACAGGAGGCTGGAGGGTGCCCCCCATCCAGCCTTTTCATTAGACTGGTGGTTATAGCACTTGCCTGTAGAGAAGAATGTGAAGGAAAATGTGATCTGGCATCCTTGCAGCCTAAAAAGAGCCTAGGGATCTTCTTCCTACCTCCTGAGCAAGTGCTCCAAATCACTGTGTTCTTGCATAAAAGCCAGGCAACAACAGTTGCTCCTATTGCCATACTTTTAAATGTAAGTGGTTGTGGCTGCTTTGTTTTGTGCTGAACTCAATGCTATCAGGATGCACTTGACACACTCAGAGCATACCTAGTGGACTGGACTCCCTTCAGGAGATAAAGCACTTCTCTGCCTAGTTCTGTATCCCAATAAGACTTAAGCACAAGGTAGGCACCTAGTCATTTAGATCAAGGCAGCTCTGCACATGGGAGAAAAAAGGCAAAATGGCAAGTATCTAGGGAAGTCCCACGTTAAAAGAGGCACCAAGCGCATTTAGATACTTCCAGAATTAGGCAACCTCCGAGCAGGGATTTTTAAATTACAATTTTGGATCTAAAGTACGCCAATTTTTGCATCTCCTGCTGATGTCAATGAGGGAACAACATATAGAATATGTTCTTATTAAGCTGTTTTGAATTAAAATATGATGGCTCTTCACAGCTCATAATGCCTCAATAACTTCCCCTCAAGGTTAATAGGAATTTCACAAGGTAATAATGGAAGAATGGTCTCTAAAAAAGTATCACTATTGGTATATCTATCTGATTAAGGTTCTCTTTGTTCTTAGAAAAAAGGAAAGGTTGCATGGGCCAAAAAACCTCGTAATGCATGTGGTGCAGTTACGTAGGACTTTGTCAGCAGGAGTTGATTCCACATACTTACCAATGAAAAATAAATACAATGTACTTCTTTCTAGTACAAATACCTCTAATCATATTCCTATGTTATTTGGAAGTGACATTAATCCTTGCCACTTGGAATGTAACCAAAACAAAGAGGTTATATTTAAGTTAAAACTCTGAATCAGTCATGAGGCTTTTAGCAGAACTAACTGTCTGTAGAACTTCTTTGTATTTTGAAAATGCTATTAAATTTAATATATTGGTCTGTGCAAGTAATAATGTTTGCGTATGAGGATTATAAGAAAACACAGTATTCAAGCCACTTTATTTTTCCTAAATCATGTAGTGTATAATAAATGTTATGAAACTTAAATAACTTTGTATTAATCAAAATGGTGAAGTTGGCTTAAAGACTTAAGTAAAAGTTGTCATTATCTAACTTGTTGCAACAATTACTGTAATATTTGTGAAATTATCACTGTGCGTGCTACTTTAGACTGCAGGGAGGTTGTAGTTCAATTTTAATAGTTTAAAACAAATCTTTACCAGTAACAGTGTCATTGTTTTTCATTTAGTATGTTACATTTTGGAATGCACAAATAATTTATTTAAATAAATGTATATACAAGTATGACAACAGGAAACTCTACAGAATTCAGTACAATGACTGCATGCACTGAGGAATGTTAAACTCCAATTTATCTTAGAGCAATGAGATATGGATTGAAAACTAGCAAAAGGTTGACGATGCATTGTAATTTCCATCACCACATAGAAGGGTCTTCAAACCTGTAACACATATTATGGATTAAAAACACATTAAATATGTTAGGAAGTCTTTTTTAAAGGCTTAAGGCTAGAATCAAATAGAAGTTTCGCTAACTAGTGATATTTAACATTTAAAAATTATAAAAGTTTTCACTTCAATGAAACTGACCTTTTTAGTTAGTTCACATTTTTACTGTGATCTTTGAATATTGCAGTGCTCAGCTTGAAAATATGTGGAAACCAGATTAAATCCACACCCATAACTATAAAAATGCACCCTGCAGTGCTGTTGCTGCTTTGATGCTGTAACTTGTTAGCACTAAAACTCATTGCAAAATGATATTATATGAATGGATAACACTTACTGCATATCTCCTCAAATACAATGCCATGTTAAGATATAAATGTATTAGGAGACATTTTAGCTCTAAGCAGTAAGATTGACATTTTTCAAAAGAGGAGTTTAGCAAAAGTAGTCAAGCTATACAGCTCCTTTCCCACAATTTAGTTTCTTCAAAAACTCAACCTGAAGTAAGAGCGATAACTACAAAAGTTTTACAGTGGGCATTACAGTTCAATATTTTAGCAAATTTTTAAACATGACAAGTAAATTCTGAGGAAAGAATTTCACCTTTCATATTCATGTATGCAGATATTTGTCCTCTGTGCATATGGAAGGATATAACTGAGACAGACTGTACACATACTTCATGATCTACAAGATGAAAACCAGGGCAATTGCACAAGATTTGAACAAGGGAGCTATTCATATAATAATCAATATTTCCCTTTATTCCCCTGAACTTTTACTTCCTACTGCTCTGGGAGGTTTTCTGTTTTGATGGCCATATATACACAGTTTTAATTCAAGACGCTTACTTCTACTATTATGTGTTTAAGGGGATTTAGGACCTACATGTAATTCTATTCTACCTGAAAAACAGTTAATATAAAAGGTGGATGGATTTTTTTCCTTCCCACTGTTGGAGTTTCTGGGGTTTTGTTCATTTGTTTGATGATAAAACAGATGGCATCAATGAAATTTCAGAGACTTGAACATAGTGGGATAGGATCACTTAGACACCTAATAAGTAGACAAGGATCTCACTCTCTCATTGTTAGCTAGCAAGAATGTGGGCACCAACAGTGACCCAGCTTGTCTAAATGCCATTCCGCTGTTTGTAACACTACATCAATTTGGTGAAAAAGATTGTTTGTACACAAGTCGTGAAATGTGGCCGACTACTATGGATACACCCACAGGAAATTCTGTTTATTGTCCAACTGGCAGCATACGCATCTGTTTATTAAATATATCCATAATTAGATTGTTTCAAGCCTACAACTACTTCCAAGCAGCTTTTAATTTTTTATTAATATTGCTTTATCTTTGTTATTTAGACGATTCTATCCAAGGGTTTAAAACTAAAATCTCTTCCTTCCAGTTCTTCCACTTCAAGGGCATGCAGATTTATTATTTTGCTAATTAGTTTTAGGCTATCAGCATAGATCTATTATGCTTATATTTATTATAAATAAAGCATTGTAGCACTTGTGAGTGGGTAGGGAAGAGTTATACAGAGAACTAGATTATTCTACTTACAATGCTCCTTGGATAATTAGCACTGAGAATCATTAATATTTCACTACAGTTTAGATACTATATAAATGAGTATACATTAAGATGAATGGGCATAAACATCTGCACATATGCTACCACTAGGTGCTCTTCATCATCATAGTCATAACCTAGTACTGTCACTCTGAAGAAAATATTTTCCTGTGTTTGGGTCACTGTCCCTGAAGTCCACTGAATGAACAACTGAGATTGATGTAATCTGGCATTCTGGTGACGGAGAACTTCCTGGACTGGGCTCATGTTACATGTATACTTAACATTAGACAGGTGAATATTCTTGTTGATCTTGGTCACGTTGACTTATGCAGCACAACTGGTTTTAGACTTAGGGTTAGGGGGTATATTTGCATCTTATATACCAGTGGTTTTCAACCTTTTTTCATTTGATAGGGTGCAAACCCCTGTGTAAATTTCAAATGGAGGTGCAGACACCTTTGAATTGTAAATGTGGGTATTTACATATTTTTGATTGATCATAGTAATCTTTCATGGACCCCTTAGACATAGCCTACAGATCTCCATGGGTCCACAGACCACAAGTCGAAAACTACTGCTACACACTAGTGACATAGCTACTGTAAAAACAGTTTATTTCTACAACAGAAGTGTTATCAACAAGCTTTTCAAAAGGACCAGTCAAAGTTTACATTGCGTATATTCTTAACAAGGATTAAGATCACAGAAAAATAAGATTGGAAAGGACCCTCTGGAAAAAAAATATTTCCCATCAAAAAAATAAACTTAACTGAATTGAGGGGAAAGTATAATTTTTCAAGACTGTTAAATTTCAGCCATTATTGCAATAGCATATTTTATACCTTACAAACAAAAATCACCTAAATGAACATAGGCAGAGAGGCTGAAATGCATCCCTGCGAAGAGTGACAGCAGTATTGCGGGCATGAAATACCACTTTTCCCCCTCAGAAATCAAGTTCAAGAGGGATTACAAGACATGCCTAGACTTTCTAGTGGTCCTCTGCAGTTATAATATCATTTTGTAGCTATTAAGATTATACTGATATCATTAATTAAAAATGTAAATCAAATCAACTACTATGGTGTTTTGAATGGTGTCATGAAAAATTAAGACAAATCATGGGCTTTCAGATTTCTGATTGACAAAAGTAAAAATGCATAACTTACAATCTTGTGATCTTTTTCATGTAGGCACAAAACTCATGAAAATGTTATTTTTTAAAGATAGGTGCAGTATGTAATCTCCATGCAGATTAATATTTTGTTTTCCTACTGAAAACTATTGTTAAGGGAAGCCAGGATTTCAGAAAGTAGAAGTATAATTAAAATCAACAATTAACAGGGAAATACTGTATGCCTCAAATTGTTCCTTATGTTTCAGAATAAAGACAAATTGCTGTGACAAGTAAGGGTGGAATTCTGTGCATTTACAAACATTCTTCCCTTCTTTTTTCAATACCAAGTACTGGTCACTGCCAAAAGTATTGAACTACACTACATTTGAACCAGAGGTCTGATTTACCATGGCATCTCCTATGTTTCTAGGCAGCCTGTGTGTTGTGTGTGGTTTTTTGTTTTTGTTTCTTTGTTTTAATAGTGGAACATTTTTAATAAAACAGACATTAAAATACAGTATTTTAACTGTTGCTGCTTACATCTTTTCAGCCTATGGAAAATATTTATGAATTTTAAGTGAAATTGTTACATTTAAGTTTGAAATAAAAATTATCAAAAATACTTCTATACGTACCTAGATCGAGGAATATTTTCTGTGCTTTCTCTCAACAAAAGATCAGAAATCAGTGTCTCTGGGCTTGATCTCTTTCCATATCTATTGAATAAAGAAAACACTATTTTTTCATATCTCTTGCAGATCTTTACTGAGAAATCATATAGAGCAGAAGACTGCTTCAGCAAACATTTTGGTTGAATACAGTTTGACTGTATGAGAACATCTCTCTTTCAGCATTACACTAGCTAGAAATATAAATATGTTGAGTGATGAAACCTTAAAAAGGTGCATCTACACTGCTCAACCGCGCTCTCAGGGATGGCTGTTCCAGAGCTGCCTCACCGCCCCCGTTTCCCAGCCCCCAACAGTTGCATGTTGGGCTTCAACCTGGCTATAGGGCATCTGCCTATGGTTGCTATTGGGATCTCTCTGGGCTTCAGAATGGCCCCTCAAGTTGACCCCAGAGCAACTTCACGATCACCTTTTCAGCTTTGGCAGATAGGAAGTCAAATGAGTCACCAGCTGGCTGGAGGGCCGCACCCAGAGGGTGGTAGTGGATGGGTCCTTCTCAACCTGGGAGGACATGGGCAGTGGGGTTCCGCAGGGCTCGGTCCTCCGGCCCACACTGTTCAACATCTTCATCAGTGATTTGGACGAGGGGGTAAAAAGCACCCTGTTCAAATTTGCTGATGACACTAAGATGTGGGGGGATGTGGGCACACTAGAAGGAAGCAACAGGCTACAATCAGACCTAGACAGGTTAGAAGGGTGGGCGGATGTGAACAGGATGGGATTCAACACAGACAAGCGCAAGGTGATGCACCTGGGGAGGAACAACCGGCACCATACCTACAGGTTAGGGAACTCCCCTCTTGTCAGCACGGAGGCAGAAAAGGATCTTGGAGTCATCATTGACTCCAAGATGAACATGGGCCGGCAGTGTGGGGAGGCAGTTAGGAAGGCCAACCGCACCTTGTCATGCATCCACAGATGCATCTCGAGCA